CCAATGAGTAAGCGCTCCTGCTGTCACATTAGTCACCTGCCAGTGAGTGAGGATGGGCGCTCCTGGCCGTCACGAGGTCCTGGGTTCGATCCTAGCTCCTCCACTTTCTAATACGAGTTGCCCATGGTCAAGGTGACTGTCTGTCCTAGTTCACATGACCCCTAGGTCACGTGGCACGAGAAAACTGTGACACTACCCCCTCTTCAAGATCTGAGCTCCTGCGAAGCATTTAAACCAAATATTGCATTGAAACTCCCAGGCAACTGGTCGTGGATTGTTGGAAGCGATCGGCTGCGGTGCGTTTGGATGAAGGGCATGGAATTTGTCGAATAGTTCCTTCACGTATTTGACATTGTGTACAGGTTCCCAGGTTGCTTCAGAAACGTCGTAGCCGGCCCATTTGACAAAGTATTGCATGTATCCACGATTGACGCGAGAGTCTAGGATCTTTTCGACCTCAAACTTGTCGTGGCCTTCAACCTCGATGGGGTCAGGCTTCTCTGGATTGCGGTTGCCGATCTCGTCTTTATGGTAGGGGATAAGCTTTGAAGCATGGAAGACGGGATGCACCTTGTTCTGCGGCGGAAGTTTGACTCTGAAGTCGACGGGTCCAATCTTCTCTGTTATCTCGTACGGCCCATAGTTCTTGGCCGAGAGCTTGGCCGACGAGTTGCAGATTTTGAGGTCACGTCCTTTGAGCAACACCTTGTCACCAACCTTAAAGGGAGGGTCCACACAGTCTTGGTCATAATACCACTTCATCCGTTCGGCAGCCATGGTGAGTGATGCTTGCGCTTGTTCCCTTGCTTCTGCACGATTGTGGAATACGTCTTCGAGGGAAGGGAAGGCAAGTTCTCCAGGAATGTCGGGGGCCATCTTTGGGTTGTATCCGTACTTGATGAAAAAGGGCGACAGGCCGGTTGACTCGTGTGGGGCATTGTTGTACGCAAACTCCGCGGTGGACAGAAGGGATGCCCAATCGTCTGGTCAGTGTTCTGTGAAGATCTGAAGGTACTGTTCAATCGACTGGTTGACTTGTTCAGTCTGTCTGTCTGTTTGTGGGTGAAAAGCCGTGGACATTGACGATCAAATTCCTAGCAATTTGCAAAACTCCTTAAACGCTGCACTCGCAAACTGTGTGCCTCGGTCAGAGACGATCTGCCGCGGTAGGCCATAGTGTTTCAGGATGTGTTCGTAGATGAGCTCAGCTGCTTCTGTTGCCGAGAAGTGGTCGTCAGCTGCGAAGAAGTGGGACTGTTTCGAGAGACGGTCCACTACTACTACTATCGCGGTGAAGGTGTTGCCGTGTCTATCAACCGAGGGCGGAAGCTGAGAGATGATATCGATTGACCAGATTTCCCATGGTCCAGCGGGGATCTTGTTTGGCTGCAGTAATCCATATGGTGGTTTCCTGACTGACTTGTTTCGTTGGCAAGTGTCGCATCCTTGTACGTACTTCTTGACATCGATTGACATGCCGGGCCACCAATAGTTCCGTGCAATGATTTCCAAGGTCTTCCACCTTCCTGGGTGTCCTGCTAATAATGTGTCGTGATGTAGTTTGAGCAGGTCAAGGCGGATGCTTTGGTCCTTGGGCACGTAGACTTTGCCGCGTTGTAACAGTAAACCGTTCTCCATGTTCCAATCTTGCAGGTACTTTCCAAACTCCCAGGGTCCACTAGCTAGCAATTCCTTGTAGTGCTTCGTCATTTTGTCGTCCTCAAGGGCCTTCTTGATGCGTTCGAGCAGTTCCTTATCATCGACTATGGAGGCATGACCAGGTTGTATGGCTTTGATTGCAAAAAACTCGGGTTTCAGCAGTGTCTGTCCAAAGTTATCACTGCTTACCCCCTCTTCATGATCTGGCCTCCTGGACAGAGGGTCGGCTCGTAGCATTGTCTTCCCAGGGCGATGCTTCAGAACGAAGTTGAAGCGGGACATGAATAAACTCCATCGGGCTTGTCGGCGTGTGAGCTTCTGTGCTTGTCAGAAATAGGTGAGGTTGAGGTGGTCTGACCAGATCTCAATCGGTTCAGGATGTCCCTCCAAGTAGTGTCAGTATTCTTCCAATGCTCGGATGATGGCCAAGAGCTCCTTGTCGTAGATTTCGTAGTTGCGCTCGTGGACATTGAGGGACTTGGAGTAGAAGGTGACCGGGTGCCATAGCTTGTCCTCTCCAAGTTGTTCTAACACTGCCCCAGTTGCGAAGTTGGACAAGTCTGTCTCTAGCCAGTAGGGAGCCGTGTCGTTTGGGATCTAAGGATTGGAGCGGTCGTAAATGCGGTTTTCAGTCCTTCAAAGGCCTGCTCCTGTTCCTCTCCCCATTGCCACTGGATGTCCTTGCACATGAGCTTAGTGAGTGGTCGTGCAATTTTGGCACAGTCCTTGATGAAATGTCGATAGAAGTTGGCTAATCCGAGGAAAGCTTGAACGTGTTTGACTTTGGTCGGAGTAGGCCATTCCTTGACACCTTGCACCTTAGATTTGTTCATGGAGATTGAATCCTTTGATACGACGAGTCCAAGGAAGTGAACCGAGGGCTGCTCAAACTTGCACTTTTCAGGCTTGACAAAGAGGTCGTTGTCGCACAGCTTCTTCAAGACCTGTTCTACCAGTTGGCGATGCAGAATGAGGTCATCTGTGAAGATAAGGATGTCGTCGATGTAGACCACGACATGTCTGGTCGCAATTTCTTCCTTTAGGACCTCATTCATCATTGCTTGAAATGAGCTGGGTGCATTGCATAGGCCGAAGGTCATGACTGTTGATTCATACAGTCCCTTGTGAGTGATAAACGCGGCTTTCTCTTCGTCTCCTTCGCAAATGGGAACATTGTTGTAGCCCCACCTTAGGTCAAGTGAGGTGAAGATTGATGCGTGCGAAAGCCTATCCATGAAGTCTGAGATCCAGGGGATCGGGAACCTGTCCTTCTTTGTTACTGCGTTCAGTGCATGGTAGTCTTGAACTAAACGTAAACTTCCATATTTCTTACAGACAAAGAAGACGCAGGCGGCGGTAGGACTCTTGGTGTTGAACTTGGACTTATCCGGTCTGGACTACACGAGGCTATGCGTCTCCTAGCGCTTAGCTGTAGTCACTTATGTAGTATGTTACCATATTTGGGACTCTCTGCTCGTGTACTATAGCTATGCTTCCGGACTCTTCTGGTACTGTCTAGGACAATCCGTACTACTCCAGAACGGTTTAGACAGGTCTATGCCTTACTCATCTCTTACTCATCCTATGGTGCGATACGTCGCAATTCTTTCGTCATTGTATTATTCATCGCACTATGGTACATGTGACTAACCACTCTTTGATTAGTCATGGACACTTCTCTGTAGTATATAAGGACTTCAGATTGCGTCCTCCCTCTTCAGTCTTTCCTTACTGACTGAAGAGTGACTACTTCATTACCTTTACCTCTAACTTGTAGTTACTTACTTAACCTTTGTAGTCTTGCTTCGACTCTAGGTACAGTTCGTTACTGCAATACAGTCTTTCCTTACTGACTGAAGATCTTGCTTCGACTCTAGTCGGATCTAATCTTTGTCTTCACAGCCCCGAGTTTATCACTTGGACGTGCGGATATAGCCTTTGTCTTCTTGTTCTGTGATCTAAGCTTCAAGCGAGTTCCATTCATCGAGGTTGAGCTTGTACAATTTGATGATCATATGGCTTCCGTGTTGGCATTCTTTCCGAGGCTTTCTTGGATAAGACATCGCCATACTGCCGGTACTGTTCAGGTACATGGTTTGACCAGTATTCGCGGTCCTATTCACCTTTCGTTGCAGGGTTGGTGTCCTTTTTCTCTTCTAAC